CCAGCAGTTAGCATAATGGCTGTGTCACTGGACTCCCACGTAGACCATGGTTTGCGTCCTGGACCTGGTGACTTAAAACTCACACTGGGTGCGTGTGCGTGTATGCCCAAGATCCCAAGGGGAGAACAGAGGAGAAGGGATTACGGCGTGGCCATCCCCCCTGGGGGTTGATTTCTCATTTTCTGTCTCTCTCTCTCTCTCTGGCGAGCACATGCGCCCTATAGCAAAAACCTCTCAAAAAAAAAAGTTTTGAGTCAGTAGGTGGCGTGGTTGTTAAGGTGACTGAAACCCCACATGGCCATGGCCAGCTGTGCAGCTTGAGTTTCAGATTCTGCGGGTGTGTATACGCATGCCCAAAATCCCAAAAGGAGAAATGGAGGAAAAAGGATTGTTACGTGACCATGCTTCATGGGGGTGATTTTTTTGCTTTCTCTCTCAGTCTCTGTCTTTGGCAAGTGCATGTGCCTCCTATAGAAAAATATAAAAAAATTTTAAAAAGTTTCATCTTTTGAAGGATCAGAAGAATGTTGAGCCTAAAACAAATGTTTACATAAAAAGGAATGAAGTTCTGTCACATGCTGTAGTGTGGGTACACCTCCAAAACATGCCATGTGGAAGAAACCAGACTAAAAAGGAAAACTATATAGACAGAAAGCAGATTGGTATTCATCTGAGGCTGAGGAAAATTGACAATACTGCTTTATTTTGAGCTAATAAAATTGCTTGGAGATAGGCAAGGCTGATTGCACAATATTGTTAATGTACTTATGCCATGTAATTGTACACCATAAATTGGTTAATTTTATGTTAAATGAATTTTCCTTCAAAAAACACTAGTGTTTGGGGCTAACAGGTTCCATGGAGGTTAAGGTGTAAGACCCCACATGGTCAGCTGTGTATTCAGTCCTGCACCCAGCATCTTAAAAATCACACTGGGGGGACCAGCAGTTAGCATAATGTCTATATCGCTGAACTCTCGTGTAGTCGGCCATGATTTGAGTCCCAGACCCAGGGGCTTAAACTCACGCCAGGCGCGTGTGCATGCGTGCCCAAGAGAAGAGAGGAGAATGGAGGAGAAGGGATTGCGGCGTGACCATCCCCCCGGGGGGTGATTTCTCGCTTTCTGTCTCTCTGTCTCTGTCTTTCTGGCAAGTGCACACGCCCTATAGCAAAAAAAAAAAAAAAAAATCACACTGGGCACATGAATGTATACCCAAAATCCCAAGAGGAGCCTGGAGGAGGGATTTTTAGCATGGCCATTCTCCCTGGGGAGTGATTTTCTTTCTCTTCCAACCTATCCCCCACCCTGCAAGTGTATTCGCCTGTAGCACAATTTAAAATAAAATTTTTTTCTTGATAAATGTCTGAAATTTTGTTTATGAAATGTTATTGAAGGGCCTGCAGGTGGCGTAGTGGTTAAGGACGCTGGACTCCCACATGGCCGACCACAGCTTGAGTCCCAGACCCGGCAGCTTGTTTCTCAATTTCCCTCTCTCTCTCACTCTGTCCCTCTGTGGTCAAATTAAAATAAAGAAAGAAGAAAGTTAAGGGGACCAGCAGTTAGCAAAATGGCTATGTCACTGAACTCCCATGTAGTCTACCGCGGTTCAAGTCCCGGACCTGGTGGCTTAATGCCGGAAGCATGTGCATGCGTGCCCAAGATCCCGAGAGGAGAATGGAGGAGAAGGGATTGCAGTGTGGCCATCCCCACTGAGGGGTGATTTCTCGATTTCTATCTCTGTCTCTCTCTGTCTCTCTGGCAAAGCGCATGCGCCCTGTAGCAAAAACGTCTCCCCCCCCCCAAAAAAAAAGCAAGTTAAATAAAATAATTCTTTTTTTAAAAAAAGTTATTGAAGGGTAGTGTTTTATGAGGAGATTCTGTTAACATGATCACATTTTTAAAATTAAAGGGAGCAGGACCGGCAGGTTGTGAGGTGGTTAAGGCACTGGACTCCCAGATGTCCGACTGTAGTTCAGATCTGGACCTTGAGGTTTGCTTTTTCACTTTCCCTTTCTCTGTCTCCCTCATAAGATTTTTTTTTTTTTTTGAGGGTTTTTTTTTTTTTTTTTTTCGCTATAGGGCGCGTGCGCTCGCCAGACAGACAGAGAGAGACATAGAGACAGAAAGCGAGAAATCACCCCCCAGGGGGGATGGTCACGCCGCAATCCCTTCTCCTCCATTCTCCTCTCGGGATCTTGGGCACGCACGCACACGCGCCCGGCGTGAGTTTTAAGCCACCGGGTCCGGGACGCGAACCGCGGTCGACTACGTGGGAGTCCAGCGACATAGCCATTACGCTAACTGCTGGTTCCCTCCCTCATAAGATTTAAAAAAATAAAATAACAGCAAGCAACAAATAAAAATAAATCTATTTTTAAAACAATGAATAAATAAATGAAGGAAGGAGGGGGGCAACAAGGGATTTCCTGTCCTGAAAGTTTTTTTTTTCTTTTTTTTTTTTTTAAGTTTTTCTAGAGGGTGCACACACTTGCCAGGAGGTGAAGGGAGTGAGAAATCACACCTCAAAGAGGATGGCCATACCGCACTCCCTTCTCAATTCTCCTTTCTGGATTTTGGGCACATATACACACACGCCTGGCATGTCGTTCAAGCCTCCAGGTTTAGTGCTTGAACCATGCAGTCAGCCATGTGAGATCCAGCCACCTTAAACACACCACCACTGGCTGGCTGGAGATTTTCTTTTTTCTTTCTTTTTTTTTAAAAGAGAGACTTTTGCTATAGAATACATGTACTTGTCAGACAAAGAGACAGAAAACGAGAAATCACCCCCCAGGAGTGATGGCCATGCCGTAATCCCTTCTCCATTCTCCTCTCAGGATCTTGGGCATTCACACACACACACCTGGTGTGAGTTTTAAGCCTCTGGGGCCGGGACTAAACTACGGTCAACTACGTGGGAGTTGAGCGACGTAACCACTATACCACCTGCTGGTCCTGTGGAAGAGTTTCTTAATGTCAGTTTTCTTATTATTTTGTGCTTTATATATTCATTTACTGCCCAAAAAGCCTAATCAGAAAATCTGTTTGCCCTAACTTTATTTATACATAGCTATTTAGTACAGCACAGGGTTCCTGGTGATCTGTGAAGACTTGATTCCCTGTGCTCACCCTTTAGTAATGATCCCACCGAGATTCTTTTTTTTGTTTTTTGTTTTTTTTTCTTTTTCTTTTTGGAACAGTTTTCGCTATAGGGCACATGCACCAGCCAGAAAGAGACAGAAAGCTAGAAATCACCCCTTGGGGGAATAGTCATACCACAGCTCCATCTCCAGTCTCTTCTCAGGATCTTGGGCACGCATGCACACGTGCCCAGTGTGGGTTTAAGCCACCAGGTCTGGGACTTGAACCTCGGTCAACTACATGGGAGTCCAGCGTCATAGCCATTACACCAACTGCTGGTCCCACCACCGAGATCCTTAAGCTATTGAATCTAACCCACAGGGAAACAATTAACTTTATTTGTTTATTTATTTATTTATTTTTAGAATTACTGTATTTCATTTTATATAATTATATTTTTAATTTGACCAGAGAAAGAGAGAGAGAGGAAAAGTGAGAAAGCAAGGGACCAGCAGTGAGTGTAATGGCTATGTTGCTAAACTCCCATGTAGCTGACCATGGTTCAAGTCCCGGATCTGATTGCTTAAACTCACGCCAGGAGCATGTGCGTACGTGCCCAAGATCCTGAGAGAAAAATGGAGGAGAAAGGACTGGCGTGGCCGTTCTCCCTGGGGAGGTGATTTCTCAAATTAGAAACAAATAATAATGATGATAATAAATGAAATAAATTTTTTTAAAAATATGGGGAGGACAATTTAGCACATAACATACATAATTCTTTTGTTTTACAGGTCAGTTTGCTGAGAACGAAACCAATGAGGTCAATTTTAGAGAGATTCCTTCACATGTGCTATCAAAAGTATGCATGTATTTTACCTACAAGGTTCGCTATACTAACAGCTCCACCGAGATTCCTGAATTCCCAATTGCACCTGAAATTGCACTGGAACTGCTGATGGCTGCGAACTTCCTAGATTGTTAAATAAAATAAATTATAATAAACTGTTAACTTTTTTCAGTATTTAATACCTGTAGTTCAATTAGTAATTTTTTTCATATTTAGCATGTTGCCTGTCTGCAGTTGAAATATAAAAGTTTATTGCAAAGCAGATTATCTTCTGTTTCTTTGCATAGCAATCAGAGTCGAATTTGTTTGCTACATCAAGGACGTTTTCACAAACAGAAATAAACAAGTATGCCAATTCGTAGGTGGTTTTGCCTTATCCTTTGGATGTAACTTTTAAAATTAGAGCAGTGATGACAGTAAATACCGAAACTTAGGTATAAATGAACATGTTCTACAGGTAAATAATGGGGCTAAGTATTTTTATGTTTCTAGTGTTTTTTTAAAACCTATTCTGAACTTATAGCCACCATTAGCATTACTAGAGTTATCTTTATGTTTCTAGTGATTTTTTTTTTTTTTTAAACCTATTCTGGGGACCAGCAGATGGTGTTTAAGGCACTAGACATTCCCACATGGCTGACTGCAGTTCAAGTCCTGGGCCTGGTGGCTTGTTTATAAGAGTTGAAATTTCTTATGTGTTTTTTGATAAACTGCAGTATTGTGTATATATATCTTTTTGTTTCTTGCAGCAACTTAAGAACTTTATTTAAAAGCAATTTTGGAAGGTTACCAGGTAAAAATTTCAGAACAGTACATTTGAACTGTAGCCATGTGGTCAATAAGGAAACTACATGGCTTAGGAGTTCTTGTGCATTGTGCATTTGGGGCATTTCAAAGTACTGTACTTTCATTGACTGTAAAGCTTCCTTTGCGATTTTCATTCTTCCTTCATAGTCCCTTGTTGTGATTAAACTTGTGATTGTTTAAATGTGTTTTAAAAGACTCACTATAAATTTTTCCACATCTAAAAGGCTAGACTTTTTGAACAGTCTTCCTCCACCCAATTGGAATATTATTTTTTAAAATGGAGGGATGCTGGGAAAACCTTATATAATATCCTTAGATATAATACATTAATTATCTTCTGTTAATTCAATATGTCCCAGTAGATTTGATGATAACTAGTTGATCTTCTCCTGAAATCAAACCCGTAAAGGAGTCATTCAGCTTTTATACTAAGCAGCCAGAAAGCATTTGACAAACTGGCAGAGCATCTCTGCTTAAGCATAGGAAAAGCAGCACGGGAGTTGGGATTAGTAGTGTCTCTGTTTTAGAAACGGAACAAAGCTGTCATTGTAGGGGCTGTAATCTTCAGCTTATTTCTTCAAGACTGGCTTACTGTGGACCAGTTTTTCCTGGAACTGCAAAAACCATCAAATAATTTTTCCTCTTAGAAAACTTGAACATTGTACTTTCCAGCTTATTGAAAGTAGTTAAATATAAATTGCATATTTTTAGTAACTTCTTAAGACATACTGGTACGTATTTTAGCATAGAAGATTATTTATCAAGTATTATTTATCAAGTACAAGAATTGTATTCTGCTACTTGGTGACAGATAACGCCAATTATAAACCTAAATGATGTTTCAAAAATTGATAGCTGGAAATAAAGTTTAACTTTGGTAAGTTTTTGTAGGCTACTTTATGTGTTATATCTAGACGTGACTTTAAGACACTGAAATCAAACTGAAACAAAGACTAGGGAAACCTGTATATCCTGCAGCAAATGATACTTGCATGTTAATAAAGGCTGTGTGACTGAAAGGTATGATGAACACCTGGTGTTTGATCTTTTTAGCCTTTTTTTTTTTTTTTGAAGATTCATGGAACTTTACTTCAGGATATCTTGCTAAATGGTTGAACAGTGAAAATTTTTATTTGGTTAAATTTAGTAAATTCTGTAGCAGTCTTCTGACACTTAGTAGCTTATTTTTCAAACCATGTGCAAATCTTCCTGAGGGTTTTTTTTTTTCCCCTGCACAGAAAATATCAAAAATCCTTTATTTTGTAAGAATTTTTTTTTGAGAGAGATTTTTGTGATAGGGCATGTGTGCTCACCAGAGATACCGAAAGTGAGAAATCATCCCCCCCAGGGGATAGCCACTCCACGATCCCATCTCCTCTTTGGGATTTTGGGCACATACATGCGTGCCCAGTGTGAGTTTTAAGCCGCTGGGTTCAGGATTCAAACCACAGTCGACTACATGGGAGTCCCGTGATGTAACCATTATGCCATCTGCTATTCCCATTATTTTTATTACTTTTAAATTTGACCAGGAAAGTGAGAAAGCAAGCCTCCAGATCCAGAACTTGAACTGTGGTCAGCTATATGGGAGTCCGGCGCCTTTAACCACACCACCTGCTGGCCCCATCACAGATACTTTATTTTATTCAGTTAATATTTTGTACCATCTAGATTATGCTTTTTAGATTGCTTATGTTTCATGCACTTATTATCAACAGGTAATAGTCTGCCTGCTTTTGGTGACACTTTTTGATGCTGAGAAATGAAACTTATGCACAGTGACTTTAGCTCCTAATAACAAATACATTCAGAGATATCTTGCTATGCAGGCAGCTGTCATCTTAGTGAGTCATTTTGCTAAGCTTATCCATTATTCTTCCAAAACAGTTTATTCTGAGATATAAAATTGCTGAAGAGAGAAGAATGTCTACTCATGTCATTTCCGTCTATATAGAGGAAAGGAAACACACATTAACAAAACTTAAGTATCCAGATTTAGCAGTGCCAAGTTGAGCCTGTGACTGGCTATATCTAACTTTGATAAAATGCTTAAGATCTGATAACCAGAAGATACGGATTTTATATATATATTGCATTTAACTTGCAATATGTAAGTCTGGGTTTAATTCAGGCCAGTAACATTTGTAAGATTTTATATTCCTATTAAGCTAAACTCTTAATATTATACATAATGGTTTGTTGGTTTAAACAAATATCTTATTAGCTTAGAACTACTTTGGTGTATTAGAGCATCAATCTGGGACATAGAAAGTCTGGGATCTTGTGCTAATTAATTAGCAAGGCCTTCAGCAAATCCCTGGGCCTCAATTTCACATCTGAAACTAGCTTATACATCTATAGAGTGATGTTTATCATTTTATTGTGTTTGTAGATGTTGCTTAAATGCAGGATTATAGATGATCAGATTAGAATTATCGTGAGTTACAGAGAAAACGGGTTTTTTTTTGCTGCTTCTGGATCAGACATTAGAGACTACACATCAGTATTAGATAGATAGATAGATAGATAGATAGATAGATAGATAGATAGATAGATAGATAGATAGATAGATAGATAGATAGATAGATAGATAGATAGATAGATAGATAGATAGATAGATAGATAGATAGATAGATAGATAGATAGATAGATAGATAGATAGATAGATAGATAGATAGAGAGATTTCTTCACATGTGCTATCAAAAGTATGCATGTATTTTACCTACAAGGTTCGCTATACTAACAGCTCCACCGAGATTCCTGAATTCCCAATTGCACCTGAAATTGCACTGGAACTGCTGATGGCTGCGAACTTCCTAGATTGTTAAATAAAATAAATTATAATAAACTGTTAACTTTTTTCAGTATTTAATACCTGTAGTTCAATTAGTAATTTTTTTCATATTTAGCATGTTGCCTGTCTGCAGTTGAAATATAAAAGTTTATTGCAAAGCAGATTATCTTCTGTTTCTTTGCATAGCAATCAGAGTCGAATTTGTTTGCTACATCAAGGACGTTTTCACAAACAGAAATAAACAAGTATGCCAATTCGTAGGTGGTTTTGCCTTATCCTTTGGATGTAACTTTTAAAATTAGAGCAGTGATGACAGTAAATACCGAAACTTAGGTATAAATGAACATGTTCTACAGGTAAATAATGGGGCTAAGTATTTTTATGTTTCTAGTGTTTTTTTAAAACCTATTCTGAACTTATAGCCACCATTAGCATTACTAGAGTTATGCAAATAATTGCATTATAAACATGTTTATATTAATAACTTAGCCAAAATATTGATTTTTATAACTCTCAGAGAATAAGAGTTGAAATTTCTTATGTGTCTTTTGATAAACTGCAGTATTGTTTACGTATATCTTTTTGTTTATTGCTACAACTTAAGAACTTTATTTAAAAGCAATTTTGGAAGGTTACCAGGTTAAGATTTCAGAACAGTAAATTTGAACTGTAGCCATGTGGTCAATAAGGAAACTACATGGCTTAGGAGTTCTTGTGCATTGTGCATTTGGGGCATTTCAAAGTACTGTACTTTCATTGACTGTAAAGCTTCCTTTGCGATTTTCATTCTTCCTTCATAGTCCCTTGTTGTGATTAAACTTGTGATTGTTTAAATGTGTTTTAAAAGACTCACTATAAATTTTTCCACATCTAAAAGGCTAGACTTTTTGAACAGTCTTCCTCCACCCAATTGGAATATTATTTTTTAAAATGGAGGGATGCTGTGAAAACCTTATATAATATCCTTAGATATAATACATTAATTATCTTCTGTTAATTCAATATGTCCCAGTAGATTTGATGATAACTAGTTGATCTTCTCCTGAAATCAAACCCGTAAAGGAGTCATTCAGCTTTTATACTAAGCAGCCAGAAAGCATTTGACAAACTGGCAGAGCATCTCTGCTTAAGCATAGGAAAAGCAGCACGGGAGTTGGGATTAGTAGTGTCTCTGTTTTAGAAACGGAACAAAGCTGTCATTGTAGGGGCTGTAATCTTCAGCTTATTTCTTCAAGACTGGCTTACTGTGGACCAGTTTTTCCTGGAACTGCAAAAACCATCAAATAATTTTTCCTCTTAGAAAACTTGAACAGTGTACTTTCCAGCTTATTGAAAGTAGTTAAATATAAATTGCATATTTTTAGTAACTTCTTAAGACATACTGGTACGTATTTTAGTATAGAAGATTATTTATCAAGTACAAGAATTGTATTCTGCTACTTGGTGACAGATAACGCCAATTATAAACCTAAATGATGTTTCAAAAATTGATAGCTGGAAATAAAGTTTAACTTTGGTAAGTTTTTGTAGGCTACTTTATGTGTTATATCTAGACGTGACTTTAAGACACTGAAATCAAACTGAAACAAAGACTAGGGAAACCTGTATATCCTGCAGCAAATGATACTTGCATGTTAATAAAGGCTGTGTGACTGAAAGGTATGATGAACACCTGGTGTTTGATCTTTTTAGCCTTTTTTTTTTTTTTGAAGATTCATGGAACTTTACTTCAGGATATCTTGCTAAATGGTTGAACAGTGAAAATTTTTATTTGGTTAAATTTAGTAAATTCTGTAGCAGTCTTCTGACACTTAGTAGCTTATTTTTCAAACCATGTGCAAATCTTCCTGAGGGTTTTTTTTTTTTCCCCTGCACAGAAAATATCAAAAATCCTTTATTTTGTAAGAATTTTTTTTTGAGAGAGATTTTTGTGATAGGGCATGTGTGCTCACCAGAGATACCGAAAGTGAGAAATCATCCCCCCCAGGGGATAGCCACTCCACGATCCCATCTCCTCTTTGGGATTTTGGGCACATACATGCGTGCCCAGTGTGAGTTTTAAGCCGCTGGGTTCAGGATTCAAACCACAGTCGACTACATGGGAGTCCCGTGATGTAACCATTATGCCATCTGCTATTCCCATTATTTTTATTACTTTTAAATTTGACCAGGAAAGTGAGAAAGCAAGCCTCCAGATCCAGAACTTGAACTGTGGTCAGCTATATGGGAGTCCGGCGCCTTTAACCACACCACCTGCTGGCCCCATCACAGATACTTTATTTTATTCAGTTAATATTTTGTACCATCTAGATTATGCTTTTTAGATTGCTTATGTTTCATGCACTTATTATCAACAGGTAATAGTCTGCCTGCTTTTGGTGACACTTTTTGATGCTGAGAAATGAAACTTATGCACAGTGACTTTAGCTCCTAATAACAAATACATTCAGAGATATCTTGCTATGCAGGCAGCTGTCATCTTAGTGAGTCATTTTGCTAAGCTTAGCCATTATTCTTCCAAAACAGTTTATTCTGAGAAATAATATAAAATTGCTGAAGAGAGAAGAATGTCTACTCATGTCATTTCCGTCTATATAGAGGAAGTTTTACACACATTAACAAAACTTAAGTATCCAGATTTAGCAGTGCCAAGTTGAGCCTGTGACTGGCTATATCTAACTTTGATAAAATGCTTAAGATCTGATAACCAGAAGATACGGATTTTATATATATATTGCATTTAACTTGCAATATGTAAGTCTGGGTTTAATTCAGGCCAGTAACATTTGTAAGATTTTATATTCCTATTAAGCTAAACTCTTAATATTATACATAATGGTTTGTTGGTTTAAACAAATATCTTATTAGCTTAGAACTACTTTGGTGTATTAGAGCATCAATCTGGGACATAGAAAGTCTGGGATCTTGTGCTAATTAATTAGCAAGGCCTTCAGCAAATCCCTGGGCCTCAATTTCACATCTGAAACTAGCTTATACATCTATAGAGTGATGTTTATCATTTTATTGTGTTTGTAGATGTTGCTTAAATGCAGGATTATAGATGATCAGATTAGAATTATCGTGAGTTACAGAGAAAACGGGTTTTTTTTTGCTGCTTCTGGATCAGACATTAGAGACTACACATCAGTATTAGATAGATAGATAGATAGATAGATAGATAGATAGATAGATAGATAGATAGATGAGAGTTATAATTTTTTAGAGAGATTGTTTACTGTAGGGTGCATGCACTCAACAGAGCAACACAGAAAGTGAGAGCGGGATGGGGGGGAATTGCCACGCCTCAATCCCTTCTCCGTTCTCGGGATTTGGAGCACACACGCCCAGTGTGAGGTTCAAGTTGCTGGGTCCAGAACTCGAACCGCGGTCAATTACATGGGAGTCCAGCAGCGTGACCATTACACTGTTTGCTGGTCCTAGTATTAGATATGTTAACTAGATAGATTCCTTGTAATTTTTTTAAATGCCTGTTACACAGAGAAATCTGGTTTTAACTCAGGTTTATCAATGATTGCTTTTATGAGGGGAAATTGGTGTGCTGTGATTTGTGTGTGTGTGCTGGTGAGTGAGTATGCTTGGCAGAGAAATCCCTCCCTGCAATGGGGCATGGGCACAACGCAATTCCTTCTCCGTTTTTTCATCCTGTCAGGAGTTGAGGCATGCACACAACATACCTGGTGTATTTTTCAAACCTCCAGGCCAGAGACCAAAACTGCATGGTCAGACATGTGGGATCTGACTTCTTTAACACTAGCCCACATGGCTGGCCCTGTGCAGTGGTTTTTATACCAGTATATTTAATGCCAAGCCACCCTGAAACATTTTTCTTTCATTCTCTAGTAACAGTCTGAATTAAATAAATTGGGAACATATTTTAGGTGGTTTTGAGATGGACCTCATGGTTGTAACATTAAGTTCTATAAGTTTTGTATTTTATATGTCATTCTCCTATAGGACTCGGGTCCATCACGATTAGATTTTTTTCCCCTCTCTATAGTACTACACGCAGTTTTGGTTTTTGTTTCTGTGAGAGACAAGAATACACTGGAGGGAGCAGGTCATTTTGGCAGGATCTTGTGTCACAATTCCCCCACACTCACTCTCAGCCTCCTGGTAAGCTAGGACTTCAGATATATACTACCATGCCTGGTTTGCTTAGGTTCAGCCAGGAGCCATCCAAGACCCCCATGTAGCCTCAGCCATTGCATAGCAGCACCCTCCTGCTTCGGGCCACTGTGCCAGGGCCTTGCAGTTGACTCCTTCCCCCCCACCCCAAGAGAGATTTTTGCAATAGGGCATATGTGCTTCCGGGAGAGACAGCCAAAAATTCCCCTGGGGGCTGAGGTGGATGGCCACGCCACAATCCTGTATCCATTCTCCTCCCGGAATCGGACCACGCACACACCTGATGTGAGTTTGAAGCCTCTAGGTCCAGGACTCAAACCATGGACAGTCATGTAGGAATCCAGTGACAAAACTGCTACGCCATCTTCTGGTCCCAGCCTTCCAGTTGTTTAAATGTGAAAAAGTTTTGTTATATTTGACCTAGATATATTATAGATGCTAAGACCTTTATTATAGGCTCTATTGCTTTAGAAGGCATGTAAGATTAGGATAACAAAAATTCAGATTGGGTGGTTTAATACAGAATTTCTAAAATCTTTGCATCAGAGTCTCCTTTTACATCATGAAGTAAAAGCTTGTGGGAAGGGCCAGCCAGGTGGCATGATGATAGAGACGGTTCAGTCCCACATGGCTGAAGGTATGGTTCGACTCCCAGACCAGGTGACTTGAGAAATGTGCCAGGTACATGTGCATGCATGCCCAAAATCCTGAGAGGAGAATGGAGAAGGGATTGAGGCATGGTCATTTCCCCTTGGGTAATTTGTCTCTCTCAGTCTGACAGTTGGGGCCAGCAGGTGTGTGTTGATTAAGGACACTGGACTCCCACATGGCCAACTGCAGTTGGAGTCCCAGAGCTGGCCAGCTCGCTCTCTCAACACTCTGTTCCTCTCTGGTCAAATTAAGATAAATGTTAAAATAATAAAAATAATTTTAAAAAAAAATCTGTGGTAACCCTGCCTGCACATACCAGCTGGCTCAGAAACAGATTTTTTTTTTTTAAATAACATTAATAGTAATTTTTTAAACTATTTTTTTATAGATTCCTTCCATCAGTATGAAACCAGGAGTTGAGATGAAATCATTGCAGATGCTTAAGTCAACTTTTTTTTTTTTTTAGAGAGAGAGATTTTTGCTATATCATTTGTGTGCTCACCGGAGAGACAGAGACAGAGAGCAAGAAATTGACACAGGAACACGGGACTGTAGGGGTGATCAGGTCCACACTCGTAGTGAGACACAGGTTCTTCTTCCACGCTAAGGAAGAGTCAAGAGTCGCAGACACAGCGTAGGTGTAGCAAAGCAAGAAGTTTATTAAAAGAGGAAAGGAGAAACAGAGTTCCCAAGAAGGGAGGGGGCCCGGAAAACAAGTTGCCAAGGAACAACTGTGGCAAAGGGCTCTTATTTGGATCTGGAAGGGCAATGCCCGGACTTGATCTAGATGGGGTTCCTGCATGCATCCCCCTCCTAGTGGGGAGGGGCAAATGCTGGGTGGATCCAATTATTCTGATTTCGGAGTGGGTTTGCCTAGAAGCTTTGGGCCATGAAGACCATTATCTCCTTTCTGGAATGTGGTGGGACCTGGAAAAAGTCTTTATTTTAGGTCTAGGTCATGCTGCCTAGTTTAATCACGGAGCTGCAAGAGGGCTCTCAGGAACAAGCAGCAGAGCTACTTTGTCTCCATCTCAAAACAGC